AGAAATAACCATTTTTCTAAAGAGCCCTGATTCTGTCAGCAGTGAATCATTTTTTAGAGATTATAACCTGAGTATCAGTTTTCATATTGCTACTAGATTTTATTAGTTATAGGCATTTTCAGTGGGTAGGGCTAGAAATAATACTACTAAAATACTACTAAAATATGACTACAACTCAATGCAGCTTAAGATTTCTTTGCAGTTCTTTTTGTGTCTAGAATATATTCTAGTGGGGCCGGCCCAGTGGTGCAGCAGTTATGTTCGCACATTCTGCTTCTTGGCAGCCCGGGGTTCACCGATTGGGATCCCAGGTGCGGACATGGCACCGCTTGGCACTCCATGCTGTGGTAGGCGTCCCACATATAAAGTGGAGGAAGATGGGCATGGGTGTTAGTTCAGAGCCAGTCTTCCTTGGCAAAAAGAGGATGATTGGCAGCAGTTAGCTCGGGGCTAATCTTCCTCAAAAAAAAAATTAAAAATTAGAACATATTCTAGTTGATTTGCAATTGGAATATTGTGTTTTAAATTCACTTAAGATATCCATTTTCTCTGTTGTTATGCTACCAACTTTATGTAAGTTATACTCATTTGGTGGATTTTTTTTTTTTAATTTCGGGAATTTCTTCTTTTTCTCTCCTTGTTTTTCCAGGCACATAATTATATCATCTGCCCTGCTTCTGCATTTCTTCATTTCCAAATTTTAATACTTCCAATTTATTTCTTTTGTTGAGTTACATTGGCTGTTACACCCAGTATAATATCAAATAGTGTTGGTAATAGCCAAAATTTCCTGTAATTGTATTTTAGTGAGTTTTAAAAAAATTAAGAATGGTGCTATTTTTCAAAATGCCTTTTCAGCAGTTATTGAGATGATTCTCTATTTTCTCCTTAACTATTAATGTGATTAATTATCCTACAGGATTGTTTTGTATTGGATCATCCTTGCATTTGTGGAATAAACTTTGCTGGGTCAGTGCGATATTTTCTTTTTATGTTGCTGGATTCTGTCAGATCTTTTTGAAACATTTCTGCATGGATTTTTATAAGTTACAATATATACAGGTATTCCCCATCTCTCTGTCCCACTTAAAGTTTTATTTCACACTTAATTTTAGCACTTTTGACTAGCTAAAAGACTATGTATTTACTTATAAAATTTTGCATATTATCTGTTCTCCCATTAGAATGTAAATTCACTGTTGGATTCTTAGCACTTATAATACTGCTGGGCACAGTAAATAATTGAATGAATGCTTTATAGAGAGAATTAAGAGTTTTATTTTTTTTTAAATAATCTACTTTCTTAAACAGTTTAAATAGCATTGGGATGATATTTTCTTTTTCTTTCTTTTTTTTTTTTTTTTTGAGGACGATTAGCTGTGAGCTAACTGCTGCCAATCCTCCTCTTTTTGCTGAGGAAGACTGGCCCTGAGCTAACATCCAGGCCCATCTTCCTCTGCTTTATACGTGGGACGCCTACCACAGCATGGCTTGCCAAGCAGTGCCATGCCCGCACCTGGGATCTGAACCGGCGAACCCCAGGCTGCCTAAGCGGAACGTGCGCACTTAACTGCTGTGCCACGGGCCGGCCTTGAGATGATATTTTCTTTGAAGCTTAGTGAGTAGCAATCACCCCTAGCATTTTTTATCTTTATATTGGCATTTATTATTTATTACTATCTTTCTCTTTTAACAGCTGTTTGCCCCCAAAATAGTCAAATGCCCTCCTGGACAGAATAAAATAAAAGGACATGCAGCTCGTTCGCATTGTACATGTTGTAAGCGCTGAAGTCTTCTGACAGAAATACTGGGCAGAGAAGAGACTGGACATCCTATTTCCTCACCTCACGGAGTGGAAACATACACATTTTGCTGGGATATCTGAGAATTCATATCGTATAATTTTGCTTTTTGGCTAGGATTCATACCTTTTCTTTACTACTAGTTCTGAAGAAAATCAGAGGCATCCTTGAACACTATTATCTTAACTGTATCTCATGTACTTCTGTTATGACATAAGCACAAAGACTCATAAAAAAAGGAAAATTCTGCTTTTAAAATTACCCAGAAATAAAGAAGTTAGTTTTTAGTGTTTCACTATTAAGCATGTTACTGATTTGGGGTTTAATATTTATATTTTTATTTTATAGTAAGGAAATTCATCTATACTTATAATATAACAATATGTTTTTCAGAAAGTGAGGAGGGATTAATTAACCATGCTTACAAACCTATAAATATGGTCATATTTTTCCTTGACCTCTTTTCATCACATACAGATAAATTTTTAAATATTTAATTATAATTGTACCTGGAAGGTTAATTAAGGCCAAGATGGGGCAATAGGGACCAGATTTACCTTCCTGCCTAAAACAAGACAAAACCCAGAAAAAATATATGAAATAATGGTTTTCAAGACACTAGATGTCAGAAACAACTGACAGTAATAACTGAGAGATGGGAAACAAACAACCTGAGCCTTAGGATCGTCCCAGCTTACTGACTTTAAAAAGCTTCCATGCTGTGGTGCAGAGAGGGATACCTGGGAAGATCCTGGTAGACTCCTCGAGGTGAGCAGATGTAGCTGAGAGTCTGAGGAGACCAAGGCACCAAGGCACCAAGACACCAAGGCACCAGTGAAGCTAGAATTCTGAGGGTAAAATACTGAAGAGAGTAGAGCTGGGGTGGGGTGGGGGGAGAGAGAGAATACTGGAGAACTGCAGAGGATCCCTCTCAATTATTGATCAGGGAACTGACCAGTGTGTGAGTTTGAGGAAACTACTTGAAGCTGGGGGAAGATTTATCCAGATGGATTAGAGAGAAGAGTGCCCAGTGCTCACACTCGGCCAGGAATAGCACCTATTCTCACCATTTGGAAAACCTCATGGTTCACCCGGCAGGGCTTTGGGTTGAGTACTTGGGAAGATTTTGCTTCAGTTATGGGGCATAATTAGCCCTAGACTGAGTACGGCTCCAGACCTGCCTGATAAACCACAACAGCAAGAACAAAAAAATAGCAAAAGAAAACATCCCTAAGAATCAATCTAAATATTGTGTTCAGAATTTTGTGTCTACGTTAAAGTGAGATATTGATCTGATTATTTTCTTGTGATGCTCTTGTTTCACTCTGGTATAAGGGTTATGCTGGGTGCACAAAATGAGTTAGGAAGTACTTTAATTTCCTCGCACTCCTGAAAGTGTTTATATAAGATTGGTTCTATTTCATGATTAATTGTTATAAAGAATTCATTGATAAAGCTATACAGGAATGGAATTTTGTTGGGGAAGGGAAGGATTTTAAAGAATTAATTTACTTAAGAGGTATTAGATTATTCTAATTTTTAATTTTTTTCTGTATTTTTTTAGAAATTTCTGTTGTTCATAGCAGCGGTCCATTTTCTCTTAGTTGGCAAGTTTATTGTCATAAATTCATTTACAAATCCTTTTATTATCATTTTAAGAACTGTAAAATCTGCAATGATGACACTCTTCATCATTCTTGATTCTGATTATTTTTTTCTGTTATTTTTTCTTAATCCATTTAGTGAGGAACTTATGAATTTTATTAATCTTTCAAAGAATCAATTCCTAGGTTTATATATTTTCTCTAATTTTCAATTAATTTCTATTTCAATGAGTTCTATCTTTTATTTACTATTTCCAATCTACAATGTTCTCTGGGTTTATTTTGCTTTTCCTTTTTCTGTCTCTTGAGATGGAAGCTTAGTTCATTTCTTATAATATTTCTTGTTTTCTAGTACTTGCATTTAAAGCTGTGGATTTCTCTCTAAGCACTCCTTTAGCTGCACCCAGTAAATTTATGCATACATGTATATATATAAAATCTTTCATATATCTTTTATATAGATTATATATGTCATTATCTTCCTGTTGAAAATTTATTTTAAAAAATGTTCTTGGGTAATTTAGACTTGTATTGCTTAATTTGTAAATAACTGGGAAATGTTATTATATTTTTATCAATTTTTAGTTGAATTACATTGTCCTAAGATATATATTCCATATGACTTAAGTCCTTTGAAATGCACTGCAACTTTTTTATGGCCTAGTGTACTGTCTATTTTGGTGAGCATTCCATGGGCACTTCGAGATAAATGCAATAGTCCCACAACTGTTTTCTCTTTCCCCACTCCAATACTAACGCAATTTCTATCAATTTGCCTGACTGAAACTGTGAGACAAACTTCATCTGCATTTGAAATAAGTTTTAAATGGCATTCACATCTTCTGGAGGTCAGTTCAGATGTCATCTGCAAAGACATAACTCAAAATTAGACAGGTTTGTCTATTTTGAAGGTCATGATTTAAACAAGAAAGTTTTTACATATTTCACTTCTACCCAGACTGGACTTTTCCCTTGAGGTGATTTGACCTCAAGTTGTTCTTTTATGATTTTACCCCCAGAGGAGGTGGTTCTGTAAGTTAACTTCTGCATGGTGATTAACCTGGCGGCATCTCTGGAGATGCAGAGTCGACCTTCAAAATTATGATTAAAGTCCCAATGAATTTAATTAGAGAAAAAGCACAGTTGGAGATGCATCATTGAATGACTCAATAATATGTGCCGTATTTCAAACATATACAAAGTGTTTGCAGACCTTTGCCCTTACCTCAGAGAGGTTTGTCTGTACCAGTATTCACATGACTGCTTTTTTTAGGAATTGAATGATGAATTCAAAACATAGTGAATTATGTATATATGAAGTTATTCTCCATTCCTTCAGGCAAATCAAATTCAACAACGCTGTATAAAGACAGATCAGTTAAACCAATTGAGGATCAAAATGTCGTAAAGGTTATTTCACTTTTATTGGTATAAAACACAAACTGCAAAATATATTTTTTTTGTGGAAGCTTAGCCCTGAGCTAACATCTGCCACCAATCCTCCTCTTTTTGCTGAGGAAGATTGGCCCTGAGCCAACATCTGTGTCCATCTTCCTCTATTTTATATGTGGGATGCCTGCCACAGCATGGCTTGATAAGCGATGGGTAGGTCCGTGCCTGGGATCCCAACTGGTGAACCACGGGCCGCTGAAATGGAACACGCGGACTTAACCCCTGTGTCACAGTGCCCGCCCCAAACTGCTAAATATTTATCTAAATAATTCAGAGTTTTCTCTCCCACAAAGTTTACACATTTAACCTCAAAAGGTTGATTTAAAATTTGTTTGTTATTAGGACAAATCCTGCCAAAAATGAAGATTTGGGGTTTCTTTATTCACAATCAAGATTCAGACTTCTTTAGACTACAGGACATTTTGAAAATCCAAATAATTTAAAAGGTAACATTTTTATGAAAGACTGAAATGAACCAGACTTCCTGCACTCATGGTAAGAATTAGTCACAGGGAGACGGTTCAAGATCCAGTGACAGTGGACATGTTATCTTGCTCTCTGTGTTCACAGAGATGGCAGCACTGCATGAAGGACAAGGGAGAAGGTGCCACAAGCTGGAACTTGGATGGAATGACTGTCTCATTATGCAGGTAACCCAGGAAGTGTATTTATATATAAGATTCTGAACTAGGCTTTATATTTTGCAAGAATGCATTGATAGTGTGGGAATTCACTGTCTTTTGAAAGTTCTCCTATGTCATTCTCTTCATCAGCCATGTTAGGATCCTTTGTGATTACGAAAATATGAGGGGATTGACTCATTTCTGTAACACTTTTTGCATATTTTCCTATGATAAAGATCCAGAATAAATTTATCTTCTCTAACATCAGTATTTTTAGGAACTATTTTCAAGTATAACTATTTGGGGATATTTTAATGGGCAGATATGTCGAAATCTCCTGATAGGTTCAGTTAATATGTTCTCTAAGCACTGTTTGTTAATCTGTTAAAAATTAGAGAATGACACAGCGTCTCTAGAACTTGGATGAGTGACTTTCAAAAGCTTAAGGTAACACTTTAGTAAGCAAGCTGTTGCTTCAATTTCTGTTTTTCTGTTCTCAGGTGAGTTTCAGCATCCTATCATTTATTTACTGCCATTTGGATGTAGTCTTCCTTCAATTGCTTCTTTGTATGATTTGCCCACTTTGCTGTTGGTTTGTTTGCCTTTCATTTGTTAATTGCTTAGAGCTCTTTGTCTATATTGATATTAGCTCTGTGTATGTCCTCTAAAATGTAAACCTTTTCCCTAAACTACTTCTGTCTATTGATGTTACAGTATCTTTTCCTAAATCCTTAAAAGTTTTGAAATTGTCAACTATGTCTATTTCGGATTTCACTTATTAGGTAAGAATGTTATCCTACCCTTGGAATGTAGAAAGCCATCTCTTTTATTAACTGGAAAGTGAAGATAAATTAAGTCTTACTTTATTTTTTCATTAAAGTTTTAATCTATTTTTATTTTATTTTTGTATGTTATTAGCTATATGTACAATTTTATTAACTTCCAGATGGAAAGCTAGTTGTGGCAACCCATTTATATAATAATGTGTCCTCCTTCCCCACGTATGTCTCTAATGACTTGTCTCTCTATTACTCGGTAATATTACTGAGGGTAGGGACCATATTTTAAGCATCCTTGTATTCTTTTAATCTCTGAATGTATTGGTACGTGATAAATCATAATGCCTATTTGTTGAATGAAGAAACAAATTATGTCAAGATTTCAGGAAGTCACTAGTAATAACTATATTTGCAGGTAATCTTGTCCTGAACTCTGAAATAAGACGTAGAGAAGAACCTATGGAACAAAGGAAAAATGTGACTGAATTTGTACTCTTGGGGCTCACTCAGAGCCTCCAGGGTCAGAAGATACTATTTGTTGTGTTCTTGCTCATCTACATTGTGACAATGGTGGGCAACCTACTCATTGTCATGACTGTGGTAGTCAGCCCAACCCTGGATGCCCCCATGTACTTCTTTCTTGGCTACTTGTCATTTATGGATGCTGTTTATTCTACTACAGTCACCCCAAATATGATTATAGACTTACTCTATGAGAAGAAAACCATTTCCTTCCAAGCTTGCATGAGCCAGCTTTTTATAGGGCACTTATTTGGTGGTGCTGAGATTTTACTCCTGGTGGTCATGGCCTATGACCGCTATGTGGCCATCTGCAAACCCTTGCATTATTTGACAATCATGAATCAACGTGTGCGTGTTCTGCTGCTTCTGTTGGCCTGGCTTGGAGGTTTTCTGCATGCTGTAGTTCAACTTCTCTTTGTCTACAACCTTCCCTTCTGTGGCCCCAATGTCATCGACCACTTCATCTGTGACATGTACCCCTTATTAAAACTTGCCTGCACTGACACCTACGTTATTGGTCTCACCGTGGTTGCCAATGATGGGGCAATCTGTGTGGTCATCTTTATGCTCTTACTCATCTCCTATGGGGTCATTCTGCACTCCCTGAAGAATCTTACTCAGGAAGGGAAGCGCAAAGCATTATCCACTTGTGGCTCCCACATCACTGTGGTGGTCCTCTTCTTTGTCCCTTGTATTTTTATGTATGTGAGACCTCCTTCTACCTTACCCATTGATAAATCCCTGACTGTGTTTTACACCGTTATCACCCCTATGTTGAACCCTTTAATCTATACTCTGAGAAATGGAGAGATGAAAAATGCCATGAAAAAGCTCTGGACCAGAAAAAGAAAATGAGGCAGCAGAGAAATGTACCACCTGTTTTCAATGAAGAATTGCTCCTTCCAGGAAAGCCATGTGTGATTATTTAATTATAGTAAATTTTTCCTCAGGTTTAATAACTTGGACATTATGAAAAATATTTATGTGAAAACTTTGAATGATTTAAATATATTTTTAAGATTTTCATAATTTCTTAGGAAAATATATGTTCAGTTTTTGTGCATAAAAAGTCTCTTGAAAAGTATAGACTTATGTTCTATATGATGAGTTATGCTACACTTAATGCTGTAAATTAATTTTAGTTAGAAGATTTTCTCATGTTTCTCTCTTAAATAACATAATATTTTTCAGAATTAATAGTCTTCATTACAGATTTCAGAAAAGTAAAATAAGAAATAAAAACTTGCTTCACTCCTCCCCACATAGACAGCCCATATTAATATTTGAAGTGTATATCTTATGTTTGTATCTATGAGATACTTTAAATATATAATTCTGTTCATATTGCTTAGCACGTTAAGGTTGAAGAGGAATGATGCTTCAGAGTTCTAATATTAATCACAAGGAGGCTAAGTAAATAAGACGATTCTAATGAGCAAGGCAGATATGCAGAAAAATAACTACATTGTATGTATTGTTCTGATTAGGAAATCATAGTATCTCCTCAAGTGGAACAATTTTGTTTTGGTGTTACTTTTTCAAAAAGATCCATTAATCTTCCCAGATTGTTTAGAATATCTGATAAGACTTCTGCTATTTTTCAATATTCGCATCCCCTTTCTTAGCTTATAGTGTTTCATAGCCTTCTATACTGACCCAGACCCTGCCTTTCATATGTAAAATCGCATAATCCATAATCCTTGAGCTTCAAATATGCAATACAGAAGTCCACAACAGATATTTTGGGTGATGTTGTTAAGAAAGATGCTGACACTATATTCTATTCTTCCCTCTCTTATTAATGGATTGAAGATTATTAGGTAATAAAGAGGCCCGAATACGTTGTTTTATTTAACAGAGACCTCAATCATAAAATCCTTTCTTTCTCTGAATCAGGCTTGAAACAAAATATTATCTCTCCCTAAAATGTCAGGAAGCATGTGTAAAAGAAACTCATAATTCTGCCTCCCTTATTTGGTCTGGATTCCTAAGGGGCTAAGGCTATGGGGCAACAAGTCCTTTTCATTGGCAAATCACACAGTATGAGAATCCTTGTATGCTGATTTTTATCCCTGTTATTGGAGATTTCTTACATCATCTCAAAGTCTTCCCAAAATAATACTATTCACCAAATGATATCAAGTATATGACTCATCTGAATTTATATAATTAACTCCTTCTCTTTTGGACATTGCTATAGACTGAAAGTTTGTGTCCTCCCCAAGTTCACAAGTTAAATCCTTTATAATGTGGTGGTATTTGAAAGTAGGCTTTTGAGGAAGTACTTAGATCATGAAGGTGGAGTCCTCTTGAATGAGATTAGTGTTCTTATAAAAGAGACCCCAGAGAGCTCCCTTGTCCCTTCTGCCCTGTTGAGGACACAGCAAAGAATTGGCTGTCTGTGAACTAGAAAGCAGGTCCTCACAAGACATGGAATCAGCTGGCGCCTTATCTTGGACTTCTGAGCCTCCAAAACTGTGACAAATAATTTTTTTTTGTTTAAGCCACCCAGTCTATGGTATTCTATAATAACAGTCCAAATGGAGTTAAACATTTAGTTAATTTTCAAATTTGTATAATTATTTCAATTGATGAGGTAGAAATGTTTATTAATTGCCTGTGTTCATTGGTCTATTCTCTCCCTGAAGTTAGGGAAGGTTACTTAGTTGTCTTTGTGCTCTCTGTTCCCTGCATGGTGTCTGGGACATAGAATCCACCCCATAAACTTGGTTGTTACTTGTATCCTTGAATTCTTGTTCTATTGGAGTGAGAATTTTCACTGATGAATTTCACTGAAGTCTTTCTACATTAAATATATATATTTGTGATAAATATTTGCTCTTCTTTGATATTTGGTACAAATGTTAACCTTATGTTATTTATGCTATAATTATGGCTGTTGTTATATAAAGATGTTATATTTTTATATTCCTTTACTTTTCAACTTCTATCAAATAACTCTTGGGAAATTCCATTTTCTTCAGTGATATTATAAATTTTAACCTCTTGTTTTCTTTGATAACTTTTCAAAAAACTTACTTTTTAATCATTCTAGATTTTAATTTTGTTTGCGATTAGGAAATATCTAAGCCCATTTTCCCCAAACAGGTGAAACAATCTGCCAACATTATTATTTTCTTTTTTTTAGTAGTAATTTGATTGTATTTGATTCAGGTGTCTCTCTTTTTTTAATTAATTTTTTTGATTGAGTTCTTAATAGTTCACATCAATGTGAAATTCCAATTGTACATTACTTCTTCAGTGTCACCACATAAGTGCTCCCCTTCGCCCCCTGTGCCCATCCTCCTAACCCCCTTCCCCTGGTAACCACTGAACTGTTTCCTTTGTCCATGTGTTTATTCATATTCCACATGTGAGTGAAATCAGCTAGTGTTTGCCTTTCTCAGTCTGGCTTATTTCACTTAGCATCGTTCTCTCCAGGTCCATCCATGTTGTTGCAAATGGGATGATTTTGTCTTTTTATATGGCTGAGTATTATTCCATTGTGTGTGTGTGTATATATATATATATATATATATCTATATATATATATATATACCACATCTTCTTTATCCAATCATTAGTCTATGGGAACTTGGACTGTTTCCATGTCTTGGCTATTATAAGTAGTGCTGCAATGAACATAGGGGTGCATATGTTACTTTGGATTGTTGATTTCAAGTTGTTTGGGTAGATACCCAGTAGTGGGATAGCTGGGTCGTATGGTAGTTCTATTTTCAGTTTTTTGAGGAACCTCCATAGTGGCTGCACCAGTTTGTATTCCCACCAGCAATGAATGAGGGTCCCTTTGTCTCCACACTCTCTCCAACATTTGTTATTTTTAGTCTTAGTGATTATAGGCATTTTAACAGGCATAAGGTGGTATCTTAGTGTAGTTTTGATTTGCATTTCCCTAATGACTACTGATGTTGAACATCTTTTCAAGTGTTTATTGGCCATCTGTATATCTTTGGAAAAGTGTCTGTTCATATCCTCTGCCCATTTTTTTTTATGTTTTTAATTTTATTTATTTTTTTAAATTAATATTATGATAGTTTACAAGCTAGTGAAATTAAAGTTGTACATTATTGTTAGTCATGTTGTGGGTACACCACTTCACCCTTTGTGCCCTCCCCCGACCTCCCCTTTTCCCGTGGTAACCACCGATCAGTTCTCCTTGTCCATATGTTAACTTCCACCTATGAGTGAAGTCATATAGAGTTTGTCTTTCTCTGTCTGGCTTATTTCACTTAACATAATACCCTCAAGGTCCATCCATATTGATGCAAATGGGACGATTTTGTCCTTTTTATGGCTGAGTAGTATTCCATTGTGTATATATACCATATCTTCTTTATTCAATCATCAGTTGCTGGGCATGTAGGTTGGTTCCACGTCTTGGCTATTGTAAATAATGCTGCGATGAACATAGGGGTGCATGGGACTCTTGGAATTGCTGATTTCAGGTTCTTAGGATAGATACCCAGTAGTGGGATGGCTGGGTCATAAGGTATTTCTATTTTTAACTTTTTGGGAAATCTCCATGCTGTTTTCCATAGTGGCTGCACCAGTTTGAATTCCCACCGACAGTATATGAGGGTTCCTTTTTCTCCACAACCTCTCCAACATTTGTCACTCTTCGTTTTGGATATTTTTGTCATTCTAACAGGTGTAAGGTGATATCTTAGTGTAGTTTTGATTTGCATTTCCCTGATGATTAGTGATGATGAGCATCTTTTCATGTGTCTCTTGGCCATCCGTATATCTTCTTTGGAGAAATGTCTGTTCATGTCTTCTGGCCATTTTTTGATCGGGTTGTTTGATTTTTTTGTTGTTGAGCTGTGTGAGTTCTTTATATATTATGGAGATTAACCCTGTGCCAGATAAGTAGCTTGTAAATATTTTTTCCCAATCAGTGGGCTGTTTTTTTGTTTCAATCCTGTTTTCCCTTGCCTTGAAGAAGCTCTTTAGTCTGATGAAGTCCCATTTGTTTATTCTTTCTATTGTTTCCCTCATCTGAGGAGTTATGGTGTCCAAAAAGATTCTTTTGAAACTGATGTCAAAGAGTGTACTGCCTATATTCTCTTCTAGAAGACTTACTGTTTCATGCCTAATCTTTAGGTCTTTGATCCATTTTGAGTTTATTTTAGTAAATGGTGAAAAAGAATGGTCAATTTTCAACCTTTTATATGTGGCTGTCCAGTTTTCCCAGCACCATTTGTTAAAGAGACTTTCTTTTCTCCATTGTAGGCCGTCAGCTCCTTTGTTGAAGATTAGCTGTCAATAGATGTGTGGTTTTATTTCTGGGTTTTCAATTCTGTTCCATTGATCTGTGCACCTGTTTTTGTACCAGTACCATGCTGTTTTGATTACTGTAGCTTTGTAGTATGTTTTGAAATCAGGGATTGTGATGACTCTGGTTTTGTTTTTCTTACTCAGGGTTGCTTTAGCAATTCGTGGTCTTTTGTTGCCCCATATGAATTTTAGGATTCTTTGTTCAATTTCTGTAAAGAACGTCATTGGGATTCTGATTGGGATAGTGTTCAATCTGTAGACTGCTTTAGGTAGTATGGACATTTTAACCATGTTTATTCTTCCAATCCATGTGCATGGAATGTCTTTCCATCTCTTTATGTCATCATCAATTTCTTTCAAGAAAGTCTTTTCGTTTTCGTTGTATAAATCTTTCACTTCCTTTGTTAAATTTATCCTAAGGTATTTTATTCTTTTTGTTGCAGTTGTGAATGGGATTGAGTTCTTGACTTCTTTTTCTGTTAGTTCATAGTTAGCGTATAGAAATGCTACTGATTTATGTATGTTGATTTTATACCCTGCAACTTTGCTGTAGCTGTTGATTGTTTCTAATAGTTTTCCTATGGATTCTTTGTGGTTTTCTATATATAAGATCATGTCGTCTGCAAACAGCGAGAGTTTTACTTCTTCGTTGCCTATTTGGACTCCTTTTATTTCTTTTTCCTGCCGAATTGCTCTGGCCAAAACCTCCAGTACTATGTTGAATAAGAGTGGTGAAAGTGGGCACCCGTGTCTTGTTCCCGTTCTCAGAGGGATGACTTTCAGTTTTTGTCCATTGAGTATGATGTTGGCTGTGGATTTGTCATATATGGCCTTTATTATGTTGAGGTACTTTCCATCTATACCCCTTTTATTGAGGGTTTTTATCATAAATGGATGTTGGATCTTGTTGAATGCTTTCTCTGCATCTATTGAGATGATCATGTGGTTTTTGTTTCTCATTTTGTTAATGTAGTGTATCACGTTGATTGACTTGCGGATGTTGAACCATCCCTGTGTCCCTAGTATAAATCCACTTGATCGTGGTGTATAATCTTTTTGATGTATTTCTGTATTCGGTTTGCCAGAATTTTGTTGAGGATTTTTTCATCTATGTTCATCAGTGATATCGGCCTGTAGTTTTCCTTCTTTGTGTTGTCCTTGTCAGGTTTGGGGATCAGAGTGATGTTGGCTTCACAGAATGTGTTAGGGAGTGCTCCATCTTCCTCAATTTTCTGGAATAGTTTGAGAAGGATAGGTATTAAATCTTCTTTGAATGTTTGGTAGAATTATCCTGAGAAGCCATCTGGTCCTGGACTCTTATTTTTGGGGAGGTTTTTGATTGCTGTTTCTATTTCTTTACTTGTGATTGGTCTATTCAGATTCTCTATTTCTTCCTGATTCAGTTTGGGGAGGTTGTAAGAGTCTAGGACTGTCCATTTCTTCTAGGTTGTTCAATTTGTTGGCATATAGTTTTTCATAGTATTTTCTTATGATCCCTTGTATTTCTTTGGTATCCGTTGTGATTTCTCCTCTCTCGTTCCTAATTTTATTTATTTGAGATTTCTCTATTTTTTTCTTAGTGATTCTGGCTAAGGGGCTGTTGATTTTGTTCATTTTTTCGAAGAAGCAACTCTTTGTTTCATTGATCCTTTGTACTGTCTTTTTTGTTTCAAAGTCGTTTATTTATGCTCTAATTTTTATTATTTCCCTCCTTCTACTGACTTTGGGCTTTGTTTGTTCTTTTTCTAATTCTGTTAGGTGTCGTTTGAGGTTGCTTCTGTGAGATTTTTCTTGTTTAGTGTGGTGAGCCTGAATTGCAATGGATTTCCCTCTTAGCACTGCTTTTGCTGCGTCCCAAATGAATTGGTATGGCGTGTTTTCATTTTCATTTGTTTCCAGGTAATATTTGATTTCTTCTTTAATTTCTTCAATAATCCATTGTTTGTTCAGAAGCGTGATGTTTAGTCTCCACATTTTTGCACCTTTCCCTGCTTTATTCTTATAGTTGATTTCTAGTTTCATAGCATTATGATCAGAAAAGATGCTTGATATTATTTCAACTCTCTTGTATTTATTGATACTTGCTTTGTTTCCCAAGATATGGTCTATCCTTGAGAATGTTCCATGCGTACTTGAGAAGAATGCGTAACCTGCTGTTTTTGGATGAAGTGTTCTATCTATATCTATTAAGTCCATCTGGTCTAATTTTTCATTTAATTCTATAATTTCCTCGTTGATTTTCTGTCTGGATGACCTTTCCATTGGTGTTAATGGGGTGTTGAGGTCCCCTACTATTATTGTATTGTTTTGACGTCTCCTTTTAGTTCTGTTAAGAGTTGCTTTACAAATTTTGGTGCTCCTGTGTTGGGTGCGTATATATATGTATAAGTGTTATGTCATCTTGGTGGAGTGTCCCTTTTATCATTATTTACTGTCCCTCTTTGTCTTTCTTTATCTGTTTTGCTTTGAAATCTACTTTGTCTGATATTAGTATAGTGACACCTGCTTTCTTTTGTTCATTATTAGCTTGGAGTATTGTCTTCCATCCCTTCACTCTGAGTCTGTGTTTGTCTTTGGGGCTGAGGTGTGTTTCCTGGAGGCAGCATATTGTTGGGTCTTGTTCTTTGATCCATTCTGCCACTCTGCGTCTTTTGATTGGAGAGTTCAATCCATTTACATTTAGAGTGATTATTGAAATGTGGGGGCCTACCGCTGCCATTTTATCTCTTGTTTTCCGGTTCTCTTGCATTTCCTTTGTTTCTCATCTCATGATTTTTGGATTACTAATTCAGGTACGTAAATGTCTGTATTGGTTTTCTTCTTATATGTAACTTGTGTCTTTATTCTTGTTATTTGTTTAGTAGTTACAAGATGGTTAGTATAAAACATCTCATAGATGGGATAGTCCATTTTCTGATAGCCTCTTATTTCCTTTAATTAAAACCTTCCATCCGTTTTCTCTTCCCCTTCTAGGTTGTTATTG